TCAACTGAAAACTGTTTCCGTGCTGTTTTGATGTATTTTAAAGAGTAGGCAGTCAAAATTAAAACTGCTGGATGATAGATATTCTTCATTCTTTATGACAAACAAGATAATGTGAATTACAGAATGTAAAACGTTTTTAAAATGTGTACAGCGTTTATTATGAGGGGGTAGAATCCACAGCTCAGTACTCAATACTCATGAGTACTTTTAAATAGGCTACTCTTTTACTCTTACTCAAGTAGTTTTTTGGACAAGTACTTTTACTCTACTCACACTACATTTTTTGGAAGGTAATGGTACTTTTACTTGAGTATATTTTTTCAGTACTCTTTCCACCACTGCATAAAACAGAAGCAACAGCAGTAGTTGCAGGTGTCTGCTCGCATATCTCACCAGCAGCAAAAGTTTATCTCGGAGGGTTTTGATGTCATCCTGTAGTTTCTGCTCCTTCATCCTCCACTCGGCCCTGTGGACTTCACGGCTGAGTTCCCAATCCACTCCCGCTGAGTGACGCGGAGATTCCAGCAATAACACCCGAAGCTCATTCAGGCTCCTGATATGCATTCCCATGCACACACACACACAGACACACAGAAAAAGACAATATATTGCATAAAACTAAATGAAGATTTCATTTGCAAAAACCGAAAACTACATTTTTTTTTTTTTTCCAGAAATCACATTTTTTTATTGCGCATTCCAAATAATATCAATCAAACTGCAGTTGGGTTGTTTTGATTAAGTAATAATAACGTAAACAAATACAGATCATTTACAAAATTAAAGTTCATATGTTTGTTTTAAATATTAAAAGTTAGTTTTATAGCAAAAGCAGATAACTCCAACAATTGTTTTTTTGGCAAAAGCAGATAACTCCACATTTCATGTTTTAGAGCTTAAAAAAACACTCGTTTAATCTTTGTAATCTCCTCAGATGACAATGTAGATGCCTGACAAACGTTGTTGTTGTTGTGATCATAAACTGTATGGATGTGATTACACGCAATACACTGAGCTTTTCCCTCACCATTGTAACGTGCTGCTTTTGCAAGGTTCCGTGAAAACGTTTCAGCTTTTATTTTCCTTTTTCGCCCTGAAGACGATATCACAGATTCATCAAGTTCGTCGAAATGATCCATCCTCAATCACTTTTAGTCAGCTCTGATGAAACTTCTCTCAGCTAGCACGTCTTTTCAAAGTGAAAGTAGCCTTGTCACCTGACCTGAATAAGCTGAATATTCGCTAAAATGGATTTATCGGCTTCTGTTCAAAAACAACAAGGGCGCGTGTCGGTTTCTGCAGTAAAACGTGAACTCGCGATGCCTTGAAAGTGGACAAAACCGGCTTTTTTTTGTTTGTTTAGGGTTCAGATCGTGCTATATGTGGAGAATAATGCACGGCAATCAGCTCTTTTTTTTTTTAAGTGCCGTTTATCGCTTTTTGCAAATTAACTCTTCAAATAAAAAACCCATAAATTAAACAGAATTTTAGGGCAACATCCTTTGGTACTGTAGTGTCTGCTTGACCTAATCAAAGCCAATCAAATTGTAATGTGCTTCTGTACATAGTTCTCAATGCAAAGTTGTTTAAAATGGATAGTCCACCCAAAAACGAAAATCCTGTCATCATTTACTCACCCTCAAGTCTCTCCAAAGCTGTATGAGTTTCTTTCCTCCGTGGAACATAAAATAAGATATTTTGAAGAATGTTAGTAACCAAATGGTTTTGATTCCAATTGACATCCATAGTATTTTTTTGGTACAAATATGGAAGTGAATGGGAACCAAAAATGTTTGATTACCAACATTCTTCAAAATATCTTCTTTTGTGTTCCACAGAGGAAAGAAACTCGTACAGCTTTGGAAAGACTTGAGGGTGAGTAAATTATGACAGGATTTTCATTTTTGGGTGGACTATTACGTTAAGGGCAGAGCCTAAACCCCTGACAAGATATTCACTGTCAGCATGTAGCATTGACTGAAAAGGCTAAATGACGTTTTGGACACAGTTTTAATCAGTGTAATTGTCTTCATTAACTGAAATTGCTCTTGAGTGGATTACAATCAGCTAACCATTTATCCTAGTGTATTGGGAAGCAATACAATCCAGATGATGGTTTTCCATGACAGGGATAAAATAGAAGCTGCAATACTAATTTCAAATACACACTATATTCAAGTGTAGAAGTGTAAGTTAGATGATCAAAGCATTTCTTGAAATGTGCTTCAAAAACTGGGACAATAATTTCCATGTGGCTCAGGCTGTCATTATCATTTCAAATGGTTAAAAGCTCACTCACACCTGTAATAAATCACAAAGTGTCCTCTCCTCCTCCATTTTATGCTCTTTACCTCTCTTTCTTCAGAAGCTCCTGGCTAATAACCACCAGCTGGCCTGATGCATCATGAGATTTCTTGGTCATGGACTCCAGCTCTGCCTCCAAGCGTGTCTTTTCCGTAACGAGTCCATCTGCCGCCTTCTCTCCCAAACAAATCTTTTCCTCCAAGGCTACACATAAGATGCAGTTGCGTTTATTGTAAGAAGGAGAACAAAATATCACTAGCATCATACTATGTTATGATATATATAGCTCTCTCTTTCACAAAAAAACATAACGAGAATGGCATAAATGTAACACTTTAAATGTGAGAATTACCAGTTATTTGGGACTTCAGGGCATCTACTTGGGTTGTTAGAGTGGATACTTCTTTTTCCCTTTTTGTGAGTTTCTCCAGGGTTGCTAATAGAAAGTTTGAAGTTATAAACACAGGCATAGAGAACAACTTTCACATGTTGAAATGTCTGAAAACTACTGTATAATTACTTTTAAAATGTAAATAAAAAAAAAAACGTTAATACCAGAATGATTTAGCATACCACTTTCAACTAATTTACGTACACTACCGTTCAAAAGGTTGGATCATTAAAATAAAAAATAAATAATTATATATATATATATATTGCATTGAAGTAATCAAAAGTGACAGTAAAGACATTTATAATATTATTAAAGCTTTTTATTTCAAATAAATTATGTTCTTTTGAACGTTTTATTCATCAACGAATCCTGAGAAAACAACAGATCACAGTCTTCACAAAAATATTAATCTACATTTAACTGAACTGTTTTCAACTGTGACAATAATAGAAAATGTTTCTGATGATTTCTGAACGATCACGTGACACTGAAGTCTGGAGTAATGGCTGCTGAAAATTCAGCTTTGTCATCACAGGAATAAATTGCAATTTAAATGATACCGAAACAGAAAACAGTTATTTTGATTTGTAATAATATTTCACAATATTACTGTTTTACTGTACTTTTACTGTACTTATGCTCATCAGTCTTTGTGAGCATTAGAGGCTTCTTTCAAAAACACAAAAAATCGTACAAACCCCAAACTTCTGAACAGTAGAGTGCATCAGTTGCAGAAGTTAACACAATAATTTTTCATTGTCAATATTTGGACACATACCTTCCATATTCTGTTTTAGTTTAATCTTCTCTTCAGAGTTGTCATTATTTTCGATCATCTGGATGGGCAGAATACATTAAATTTAAGTGAACTTTTTTACTCCAGTCAACAATCCAAAAGGTTTTAGAATTTCTGTTAGAATTTGGAGCTAATACCATATGATTTCAATGGGATCACATATTGATAATCTAAGCATCAAATAAGATCCTCCTACTGGATAAATAAAAACTTCATATTATTTTTTCAGGATTTCAGTTTATCCAGTAGGATCCTTTAGGATTCTTTAGGAGTGGTTCCAAATATATACAATCAAATTCCAATTTTAGCCCTGTGCGCATTGGAATTTCTGACTAATCTAAAAAATCAGCACATTTGTAAAGAGCAGAATCACTGAAATAAATAGGGTTTTGTCCCAGAGGTCACTGACATTAACATCCTGGCTGGTGTGATCCGCCTCTACAGCTTGGAGTCGGTTCTCACTGACTCTCAGCTTCTCCTGCAGAGAGAGGATCTCTGCTCGGCTCTGAGCTTCAGCCTTCTGCAGGGCCTCATAATCTACCATCTTCTTTTCAGCCAGCTCTAGCTGCTCTTTGAGAAGTTGGGTGGCCTTTTCCTGCTCTTCATGGGACTTATCCAACTCGCTGATCCTCAGCTCTGCCTTTTGAAGCTTCTCTGAGACCTCTTTGAGCTCCAGAGAATGCTGGTTGCTCTTGGCTTCCACCTGGATCTTCCAGTTCTCCTCACTCTCCTCTAGCTGGTCCCGCAATTCCTGAAGTCGGGCACGTAGATCTTCACGCTCTTTGGCCATCACGACAGCATCGATCTCATGTTTGGCCTTCAGGTTCACTAATTCCAATTGCTGCTCCATCTTTAAGCTCTCTAGAGCTACTCTCATCTCAGGTGTGGTTCCTTCCCCCTCTGCTCCACTGGTGTCACGATCTCCTGTTAGCGAGGCTTTTAGTTCCTCTAGAGCGCGTTTATGGTCTCCGACCAAAGTGTCAAGTTTGGCTTTCCAGCTGTCCATCATCTCCATGTTTTCACGAGTGGCTTGCTGAAGTCTTTGCTTCAGGTCGGAGATCTCTTGGCCCTGACGTTCTGTGGTGGCTTTAAGGCGTTCAACTTCTTTCTGGCTGCTGCTCAAAGATGCTTCGTACCTCTCGCGCAGCTGGTTGCTCTCTTCACGGCGTTCACGACCTGCAGAGAGAAGCTGTTCTCGCAAAACCAGAGTCTCTGAGCTTATGCCTGGTCTGCTGTCTCCAGTGTCTGTGCCTGGACCGGCGGAGCCTCTCTGAAGCCGAGCCTGGAGCTCCTCAACCTCAGCCTTGCGCAACGCCAATTCCTCTTCCAGCTGCATAACACGACTCTTCTCCTCAACTGTAGTTTGCTAGAGGACAGAAAAAGGGTCAGAAGGGTCTTTTATATGCCAAAAACCTCCAGTCATTCGGCTCAGGGGCAACTCTCAAAGGATTTAGTCATTTTTCCGACAAGACCTTTGACCTCAATATTAGGATTTAATTAGAGATTCAAAATAAAGCAAACTTTAAGAGTGTTTGTCAATACATCTATTGGAAAAATCTCATTATTAAATGACAAAAAGTGCTGAAAATAACAATACAAACAACTAAACTAGGGATGCACAATAAACCATAATGGTTACGGCCAATATTGAGTAAATCTGTAGAGGACGAGGTCCTAAAACAATTCAGAAATGACCATTTTAGGACCATTAACATTTTATGTGACATTATTTTCATGACACTTAAACACAATTCAACAATACACAATTGTCATGTAAAAAGAAAGAAAGAAATTCTCTAAGTAATCCTGTACTGACACTTTTTTTCCATTAAAATATAAAATACTTCCATGATGCAGTTACAGATGAAATTTACAAATGAATTTTGTACAATTAATTTTGTAATATGTTTATTTTGTAATTAATGGTTTGAATTTTACAATATAAATTTTTTGTACAATTTAAATAATCAATACAATTCTATTATTTTTGCATTATAGTAATGATATTTCTGTGTTACTGAATAATAATAATAATGATTTATTTATTATATATATATTATTATATATATATATATATATGTGTGTGTGTGTGTGTGTGTGTGTATGTATATAAATTAACTTTATTAAATTATACTATTTTTGCATTATTGTAATGAGATTTTTCAAATTACAGTACACTAGAGAAAATGGCTGTTTATATTAATAATAATAGTCCATCTATTCTCCAAAGTGAGTTTTTTTTTTCCAATTAAAAAAAAAATAATCTAGCACACTGTTTAAAAAAAAAAAACAGCCATCATATTGGCTGTCTGTAAAAATAAATAAATAAAATATTGTGCATCCCCCAAATAAACATTTTAATGTTGTTGATAATCAGTATGAAATATCTTGGAGAGTTGCCCTCAAAAACTAGCAACCGGACGGCAATACAGGCATTAGAGGCAAACAAAGCATTCGCTTGCCCTGCAAACATTTCAGCGAATGCTTCTTGCATGTGCAAAAAAAAAAAAGGGGAAAATAGTGCAACCTATGAAACTACACCAGCATTCCTGTTGAATTCAAGCCCAAGCAAGCCTTTCTCAGTCTGTCCATCTAGAAGCAGCCAGGCAAATACGAGATGGAATGGCACACAGCAAGTCCAAAGGAACACATTCAAATTATGTTTAAAGAAAAAATATTCAAAGATGTTTTTCATTCCACAGAACAACCAAATATTAATGTTAGTCATTCTGGAGTCATCTGAAAATGTGATAGTTCAAAGAAAATATCATTAGAGGTTATCACAGATCAGATAATACTACAAGAGTTCATAGATGGCTGTCTGTAAAAATAAATAAATAAATAATATATTGTGCATCCCCCAAATAAACATTTTAATGTTGTTGATAATCAGTATGAAATATCTTGGAGAGTTGCCCTCAAAAACTAGCAACCGGACGGCAATACAGGCATTAGAGGCAAACAAAGCATTTGCTTGCCCTGCAAACATTTCAGCGAATGCTTCTTGCATGTGCAAAAAAAAAAAAGCGGATATAGTGCAACCTATGAAACTACACCAGCATTCCTGTTGAATTCAAGCCCAAGCAAGCCTTTCTCAGTCTGTCCATCTAGAAGCAGCCAGGCAAATACGAGATGGAATGGCACACAGCAAGTCCAAAGGAACACATTCAAATTATGTTTAAAGAAAAAATATTCAAAGATGTTTTTCATTCCACAGAACAACCAAATATTAATGTTAGTCATTCTGGAGTCATCTGAAAATGTGATAGTTCAAAGAAAATATCATTAGAGGTTATCACAGATCAGATAATACTACAAGAGTTCATAGATGCAGTCTCAAACCTCAAGAGAGAAGTGAGAAAAGCACAGATCTAAATAAAATATTCATATTTAATATAGAAGATCACTCTGAAAACCAGCGCGTTACTCCCTTTATATCACCTTGACACTCTTGCCCAGCCTCATGGGTGTTGGCTGGAGCCTGCCTCTGGCCTGTTGATAAATGTGAAATCCTGTTGATTAGAGTACCCGAACTGTGCTGCCTTCATCCACAATGACAGCCAAAACTACACTTTTACATTTACTCAAGAAATGTGAGGCCCTGTTTATGTCTGGTATTAAGATGTGTTTTGATCGATCAGATCACAAGTAGACAAGGAAGACACATTCCCGCTTACACCTGATCTTTTAATCTGTCTCTCTTGTCCACTTTCAACCATTTTCCTGATTAGGGGAGGGTCTATGGGCATAAGTATGGGCTTATTCCTGATCTTTCGATCTAATATTGCAAAATAAGCTCGCACATTTTAATTATGGATGCAAAGGGAGACACAGAAAATGATTCCGGAGAGCAGCAGCTTTCATTTTTGCTCTAATGGCTGCAAAACTACACCAAACGCTGTGGGTGGGTGTTACAATCAGGACTGGTAAGACAACATTGACATTTTTCGCCTTCATACCAAACTTACGATTTCAGATGGCAGCATTGTCTGGCTAACGCGTTTCAACATCACGTCCCATAATGTTTATGAATTATAGGAGGTGGTCTTTAGTGGCTGTTCAAACTCATTCAACCACTATGAAAGCAATCCGTTCGAATGAGTTTTCAACTCCCTCTGGAAGTGGTCGAAAGTGGACAATTTCAGGGCCTGAGTTTTGATTGTTTACGCAAAACCACAATGCTAGAATTTTGTTGGTGATTGCCAGAGTGTTGCTAGTTGGTTGCTAGGACATTGCTAGGTACTTGCTAGGTTGTTCATGGTGGTTACTAGGGTTTTGGTCGCTAGAGCATTGGTAGGCATTTGCTAAGGTGTTCTGGTTGTATGCAAAGGCATTGTTAGTTACTAGGGTGTTTAGGATGTTCTGGTTGGTAGCTAGGGTGTTGCTAGGGTAATCTGGGTGGTTGCCAGATTGCTAGGTATTTAGAGTGGTCATTAAGGAATTAATAGGCAGTTGTTAGGGTGTTCTGAATGGCCTCTAAGGAGTTGCTGAGGCAGCTGCTAGGGTCTTCTTGGTGGACACTAGGGCAGTGCTTGGGTTTTCTGGGTAGTCACTAGGCATTGCTTTTCAGGGTTTTGTGGTTGGAAGCTAATGTGTTCAAGACAGTTTTGATGGTGTTCTGGGAGGTCACTAGGTTGCTTTTATAGGGTGTATGTGGTGGTCACTAGGGTGGTGCTTGGGTTTTCTGGGTAGTCACTGCATTGCTTTTCAGGGTTTGTGGTTGGAAGCTAGTGTGTTCAAGACAGTTTTGATGGTGTTCTGGGTGTTGTTGTTTTTTTAAAGTAATTTAAGTCATATTTATAGTGTTCTGGGTGGTCACTAGGTTGCTTTTAGGGTGTCTGTGGTGGTCATTAGGGTGGTGCTTGGGTTTTCTGATTTTCTGTCACTAGACACTGGCTAGGTGATTGCTAGTATTTTTTGTTTTTTTTGTTTAGAAGCTAGTGAATTGCAAGACAGTCGGGAAGGCATTCTGGGCATTTTCTATGACACTGTTAGGGTGCTTAGTTTTCTGGGTGGTGCTGTTACGGTGGTCTGGGTGATTACTAGATATTGATAGAAAGTTTTGAGGGTGTTCTGGGTGTTTTCAAGGGTGTTCTGCATGCTTGCCTAGATGCAGCTAGGTGGTTGCCAAAATATTCTGGGTGGTCACTAGTCTATTACTAGGGTGTTGTGGGTAGTCAATGGGGTGTTGCTACAGTGGCTGTAGTCCATCCACATGTCTTTAAGACCAGATATGTGATGAGATAGAACACAAGATAAAGGTGTTGCACAAAATGTACAGGATGATTTAAGTGCAGAAGAGGAATAATATGCCTGACCAATAATAACTGTGATGCCTTAGCAACTACCTCTAATTATAGAAAAATAAGGGCTAGAAATACAGTGTAGATGTGTCAGAGGGGGTTTGTTTCGCAACCCTTTCAAAGGTTGGAGGCTGTATTTCAGCATCTAAAACATAATATGAAGGCTGATGTGGGGAAATGAGATCACTGCCGAGAAGATAACTCCTCAACTCCAACCTGAGGGTCTCAGGCAGATGCTTAGAGAACAAGAGAAGACGGACATGAAAAAATATTTAGCAAATGAAAGGTGAAAGCAATTCCTGGCTAACAGGAGCAATGCTGCCCCACAGAGACAGGTAAAGATCTCCAACACACGTGACTTTGGGGTTTCACAGCAATGCAATTACTGATCAGAGCTGGAGTAAATTCCAATTAAATCAACATTGTAAATGCAAAAAATGGGTGAAATTGAAATAAATCTGAAATATCTGATCTTTTTTGATCAACTACCCTAGTTTAAAAAATGAGTGGCATTAAACATATCTAATCAGTTGCACAAATTACAAACACTTCAGATCAAATTAGTATATATGGGAGCTTTAAGTGAATGATGGAGATCCCAGGCCTGGCCAATCAAGCGCAAGCATTGGAGACCCATAGACACAGGCTCTAACAAAGGGACAGAAACATGGCAATGGGAGAGATGGCTACAGGCTGGGGTGTTTCATCTCCCTGCATGTTTACCATCTTTTCCTCTAACTCTTTCTGAAGCCGCTCTGCTTTGGACTTTTCCAAATGCAGACACTGCTCGAGCTGCCGAATACGGGCATGCTCCAGTTTGGTCTGAGTCTACAGAGAGAAAGAGAGGGGGGAAACGGAAAGACACGAGAAAAAGAGAAAAAGAGACATACATAGGTAGCACAGAAAAAGATTAACAGGTCTTAGCTATTCACCAATCATAATACCAAAGTGTGAAGACGTTTAAAGGCAGGACAGAGTATGTTCTCACATTCGGCATGACAGTATAGGGCTGGATAAACGGAGACATATTTGATACATTTACATACACTTAAACAGATCTTAGTCAGAGTAGATATTATATTAAAAATTTTTGCAAATGAAAATTAGGCTGTTTAAGTACAGTGTGTACTGTATGTAGGAATGTCATAAGGTTATAGATCATGTCTAATATTCATAACACTTTTTTTTTTTTGGTGGACTGAAGATGTTTGGAAAGACATTCTAAATGAACCAATACTATCATTCATTGATGGTATCAATTTTCTTCCGTTATCTTCATAGCAATCCTCAACATTGAAAAAAGTACACCTTATCTCCCAGTAAAGTAGTAAATATTTAGTAAAGTAGTAAAAAAAACAAAAAAAAAACAGATACCTCCAGGTCTCCTTTGGTAATGGACTCTTCCTCAACTCTGAACTGAAGATCTTCCACCTTCCTGCCGTAACACATAATGACCACCAGGTGTCAGGGAATTTTTGTTTGTTTCTTTGGTAGATACTACATAGACAGCAGTTTTGGACTTTATATTGAGGCCTATTGACATGAATGCAGGATCACACAAAAATAGAAGTGTTTAATTACCAAATATAATTGTAGAAACACACTATTTCCAGGTATTTGTGCAATGACAGTGTATATATATATATTTTTTTTCAGTGGATAAACTGTCCCTGTTAATCTAGTAAATGATACACAGTTATATATCTCATCATATACTGCTGGCTGTGATTAAGAGAAAAGTGAGCATTTTTTGTGCTACAACACATCAAATTAAACTTTTTACATGGCAGGTAAATGACCAAATTATAAAATCATGTACATAATTTATGGCCAACCTTTAGATTAGAATTTTTCCCAAAAACTGTGTGGTGAGTAGTGCTGGGCGGTATGACCAAAAATTTATTTCACTGTATTTTTCAAAATTATACCGGTTTCACGGTACATGACCGTATTTTTTTTTTCAAGCATGACCGTGTGTTAACCATATTTTCTACTGATTGAGAGAGGAAATACTGCAGTATATTGATTTAGAATGCCCTATTTTACTGTCATGATGAGTGAATATTGTCAAAAAATACCACACTAAATAGTGGCTAAACACGACCCCTTTTAATACGTTAACCAGGAGTCACTCTCATTTATAATCGCGGCATCGTCTGATAAAATCAACATGCATCTACACTAAAGAGCGGCTATGCGGTTGTTTTGGCTATATTACTTTTTTGTCTCATGCAGCGCACTGCCTGCGTCTGAGTAACAAACAAAAAAAAACTACAAACTAAAAAGTGCATGTGATATTAACAGACCAACTAAGCTTATATTTATAATTCCAAACAATCAGTAAGCAACAGGTGCTAGGAAACTCTGTTTTGTACTCATTTATTGAGGAGTCGGCTGCGGTGCGGCAAACTGAATGCGCTGCTTCTCTGCCACTCACTGCACAGAACAGACGCCGAGAGAGGTGACACTTATTTAAGTGCAGAAGAGGAATAATATGCCTGACCAATAATAACTGTGATGCCTTAGCAACTACCTCTAATTATAGAAAAATAAGGGCTAGAAATACAGTGTAGATGTGTCAGAGGGGGTTTGTTTCGCAACCCTTTCAAAGGTTGGAGGCTGTATTTCAGCATCTAAAACATAATATGAAGGCTGATGTGGGGAAATGAGATCACTGCCGAGAAGATAACTCCTCAACTCCAACCTGAGGGTCTCAGGCAGATGCTTAGAGAACAAGAGAAGACGGACATGAAAAAATATTTAGCAAATGAAAGGTGAAAGCAATTCCTGGCTAACAGGAGCAATGCTGCCCCACAGAGACAGGTAAAGATCTCCAACACACGTGACTTTGGGGTTTCACAGCAATGCAATTACTGATCAGAGCTGGAGTAAATTCCAATTAAATCAACATTGTAAATGCAAAAAATGGGTGAAATTGAAATAAATCTGAAATATCTGATCTTTTTTGATCAACTACCCTAGTTTAAAAAATGAGTGGCATTAAACATATCTAATCAGTTGCACAAATTACAAACACTTCAGATCAAATTAGTATATATGGGAGCTTTAAGTGAATGATGGAGATCCCAGGCCTGGCCAATCAAGCGCAAGCATTGGAGACCCATAGACACAGGCTCTAACAAAGGGACAGAAACATGGCAATGGGAGAGATGGCTACAGGCTGGGGTGTTTCATCTCCCAGCATGTTTACCATCTTTTCCTCTAACTCTTTCTGAAGCCGCTCTGCTTTGGACTTTTCCAAATGCAGACACTGCTCGAGCTGCCGAATACGGGCATGCTCCAGTTTGGTCTGAGTCTACAGAGAGAAAGAGAGGGGGGAAACGGAAAGACACGAGAAAAAGAGAAAAAGAGACATACATAGGTAGCACAGAAAAAGATTAACAGGTCTTAGCTATTCACCAATCATAATACCAAAGTGTGAAGACGTTTAAAGGCAGGACAGAGTATGTTCTCACATTCGGCATGACAGTATAGGGCTGGATAAACGGAGACATATTTGATACATTTACATACACTTAAACAGATCTTAGTCAGAGTAGATATTATATTAAAAATTTTTGCAAATGAAAATTAGGCTGTTTAAGTACAGTGTGTACTGTATGTAGGAATGTCATAAGGTTATAGATCATGTCTAATATTCATAACATTTTTTTTTTTGGTGGACTGAAGATGTTTGGAAAGACATTCTAAATGAACCAATACTATCATTCATTGATGGTATCAATTTTCTTCCGTTATCTTCATAGCAATCCTCAACATTGAAAAAAGTACACCTTATCTCCCAGTAAAGTAGTAAATATTTAGTAAAGTAGTAAAAAAAACAAAAAAAAAACAGATACCTCCAGGTCTCCTTTGGTAATGGACTCTTCCTCAACTCTGAACTGAAGATCTTCCACCTTCCTGCCGTAACACATAATGACCACCAGGTGTCAGGGAATTTTTGTTTGTTTCTTTGGTAGATACTACATAGACAGCAGTTTTGGACTTTATATTGAGGCCTATTGACATGAATGCAGGATCACACAAAAATAGAAGTGTTTAATTACCAAATATAATTGTAGAAACACACTATTTCCAGGTATTTGTGCAATGACAGTGTATATATATATATTTTTTTTCAGTGGATAAACTGTCCCTGTTAATCTAGTAAATGATACACAGTTATATATCTCATCATATACTGCTGGCTGTGATTAAGAGAAAAGTGAGCATTTTTTGTGCTACAACACATCAAATTAAACTTTTTACATGGCAGGTAAATGACCAAATTATAAAATCATGTACATAATTTATGGCCAATCTTTAGATTAGAATTTTTCCCAAAAACTGTGTGGTGAGTAGTGCTGGGCGGTATGACCAAAAATTTATTTCACTCTATTTTTCAAAATTATACCGGTTTCACGGTACATGACCGTATTTTTTTTTCAAGCATGACCGTGTGTTAACCATATTTTCTACTGATTGAGAGAGGAAATACTGCAGTATATTGATTTAGAATGCCCTATTTTACTGTCATGATGAGTGAATATTGTCAAAAAATACCACACTAAATAGTGGCTAAACACGCCCCCTTTTAATACGTTAACCAGGAGTCACTCTCATTTATAATCGCGGCATCGTCTGATAAAATCAACATGCATCTACACTAAAGAGCGGCTATGCGGTTGTTTTGGCTATATTACTTTTTTGTCTCATGCAGCGCACTGCCTGCGTCTGAGTAACAAACAAAAAAAAACTACAAACTAAAAAGTGCATGTGATATTAACAGACCAACTAAGCTTATATTTATAATTCCAAACAATCAGTAAGCAACAGGTGCTAGGAAACTCTGTTTTGTACTCATTTATTGAGGAGTCGGCTGCGGTGCGGCAAACTGAATGCGCTGCTTCTCTGCCACTCACTGCACAGAACAGACGCAGAGAGAGGTGACACTTCTCCGGGAAAGTCAAACCTCGCGTTCGCGGGACAGCACTGGCGAAATCTTCCAACTGAACCATAGCTAAGGTTTATCCACAAAAGTCGCTGGGTTTGTCAGTATGAATATTCTATGGAAAAAATCCGCTAAAAGGGTCTGAAAGTTGCTAAATCTAGTGCTAAAGTCACGCTTGTGTGTGTGTGTGAGACGCGGGAGCTGATGGCAGGGGGCGGTGGATATTTGTGGCGGTCAATGTGGATATCGTGGATGAGTTCTTCTATGTCATCACATTCTATTAGTTCTACAGCTTCAGTTTAGGAACTTTCACGCTAAGTAACAGATACAGCTGTTCCCTCACCACAGTGCAACAGTGAAAAGGGACTTCTTTCAAACAGTGTCGCATTCTGAACGTTGTATATACCGGTATTGCGGTATTTTTAAAATTCATATCATAACAAAAATAAACACCGGTATTCGGTATGAACCGGTATACCGCCCAGCACTAGTGGTGAGTGCATGAAATATTATGAAAACCAACCACTATTTCACCTTTCCCTGGCTGTAACACTGACAATGACAATGAATGACCTTTTTCTGTGATTGTCCATTAGGATTTTTTTTTTTTTTATTAATAATTTATTTTAAAAATAAAATAGGTACCCATTACTGG